TTTTTTTATAAGTATAGCTATTTAAAAATGGTACTCCGTATTATATTAAAAAATAAAACTCACATTAAATAAATAAGAGAATAACTCTTTAAGTAATCCAATTACAATGTCTATTATTGATGGAATACATAAATATTATACATGTATGTGCATATGAAAGATAATACATTAACTCTTCTTAAATAACTTTGTTAGACATTTCATTTTTTGTAGATATCGTGGTATGCGAGGGTATGATATATTTATTAATTTCTTCTATGAATCTTATTATTCCACACTTTATTTGACTAATTATATTTATAATTTTGATAGAAAATAAATTTTTAGTTTTTAAGGAAAAGTTTTACTTTTTGTTTTATTTTACCATCTTTAATAATTAAAATTTATTTGTATTTATTATAATTTTTTAATTATAAAATTACATGCATTATAAGTTTTTTTTTAGAAATTTGGATCATGACTATTGAATACTATATTTTTTAATAATCACTAGATGACTACTTTTTGGTGTTTAGCAAGATTCTCATCTCTATTTTATTACTGGTTTGCTTTATTTTATCGCATGTATGCTTAGATTTGGAAAAAGTAATTTTCATGTGTTTTATGTCATCTCTATTTTATTGCTCATTTGCTCTATTTTTTGTAATATTTCTAAAACATGTAATCCATTTTATGAGGGAATGATCAAGTAATATAATTAGTTCAAATGGTAAAATAAAAGTAAAATTTTAAAAGCATAATATGCTTATTGAAAGGAAAACATACTTCCAAAATTATCTATCTAGGTTCTAATCGGTTTCGGATCTAATCGGTTTCGGATCTAATCGGTTTCGGGTTTTATTGGTTTCGGGTATTATCGGTTTCGGATCTAATCGGTTTCGGGTTTAATCGGTTCGGATATTATCGGTTTCGGATCTAATCGGTTTCGGATTTAAATCGGATATGAATTATTTAGTTCGGTTTCGGTTCGATTCGGATCATTTCGGGTTTTCTGTTATAGATCGGATCTTCATTTTTCGGGTCATTTCGGTTTCGGTTTCGGATATTTCGGTTCGGGTAATCGGTTCTAGTTCTGTTTTGCCAGCTCTAACAAACACCACATTGGCGTTGTTATGTTTTTGTGTTGTGATTTGGCATTGTATCCTTGCTTATGAGTATTTGTTTTTGGTTTTTTTTGTTGGGTCTGCAGATCTTGCCTTGAAAAGAAGTTCCAAGCGCAGCAAGAAAACTGTTGTAATGGCTTCACCGATTCGAAGAAGCGGCGCGATAGATTGCAACTTGCAGAGATTAAGAAAAGGCCAAAAGTACACGCTGTGCATGTCGACCTGGGCGATGATGACGAAGATTCTGTGGAAGATGGTGGTGCAAATGGGAATGATAATGCAGGTTCAGATGTGTCTGGAGATGATGCAGTGAGTGGGGGAGATGAAGGTGGGAATGCAGAAGAGGAGACTGACAGTGATGATGCATTTGATGACCCACCTCGGAAGACATCAACTGACCCTTCACCGAGTGCTTCGAGGAAGAATGTTGCAACAGTAAAGAAACGAAAGAGGGAGGGGATAACCAAATTGAAGGAGAAGTACCTGCAAATTCAGTTGATAGCTTCTCCCAACGTTTTGCAAAAAGTGGTTGAAGCTCTGAATGAAGTTCAGAGGCGAGAAGTTGTGAGGATTGGGTTTGGGTCTATGTTAAAGATCAAGTTAACAGAGCTTCCGGCGAAACTAGGATTTTGGGTGGTAGAGAAATTCAATCCTAGGAGTAGCAGTATTGAACTTACAGATGGAACGAAGGTGCGTGTTACGGTGGATGATATTAGACATGTTTTGGGTTTGCCGTGTTGGCGTGATAAGGTAGTCAGCAAAAAAAAAGGTGAGAAGTGTGATATACTGGAGCAGTTGAGGGTAGAGATCGGAAGGAGAGACAACAAGATCACCCCTTTAGAGCTTAGTGAAAAGGTACTGCAATATACTGATGGTGGTATATGGTTTGTTCGTCTTTTTGTGTTGTTAGTCGTGTCAGTTTTGGTTGATAGCCCGAGCCATGGGTACGTAAACAATTGGGTGTTGAAAAGCTTGGAGGATGTGGATGGGATTGCACAGTTAAACTGGTGTGAATATGTGCACCGAGCATTGATTGACAGTAGAGTGAAGTGGGAGAAGGGGAATAGAAAATACTATACTGGACCTCTATTGTGCTTGTTGGTAAGAGTTTTGTTTTTTGACAACTCTAATTTACTTCATTTTAATGTAGTTGTTTTTTAATGTAGTCTTTGTTATCTATTTTTTAAGGTGTTCTACGTGGACCGAGTGGTGCTCTATAGTAGAGACGTTGAGAGAATGTCGCCTGCATTTCTGGGATGGACATCTAAGATCCTAAGGGATGGGGAAAACAATGAGGTCAGAGCAGGTGGATTCGGGTTAGGGTATGATGATGGTAGATTTGTTGGTGAGGTAAGTGCAGGGGGGATTACTTAGCAAACCATGTACTGTTAATACTTTTTTTTTATTACACCCTTATGCATCAGGTTTTTGTTCAAAAGTTTGCAGAAAAGGGGAGAGTTCTGGCTACCACAATCATTGACCTAGTGTCGTTGATTGAGAGTGCACCACAAGGTACCATGGAGAATGATGTGTTCAAGCAGCTGCAGCTTGCAGCGGGTAGATTATTGGGTCTGGCACAACGTAGAGGTGGTGGAAGCTTAGAAACACCTGATGGAGGTTTTTTTGAGGTGACTTATGATGAAGGTTTCTGGAGCGACCCTGCAAACATAGATCAGTTGGTGGCGAATGAACAGGCAGTGCTGGCACGTTCAAAATACAAGAAGATCATGGAGGATATGCCATCGTTCAGTCTGGGGTTCTTGCAATTGGGTGGAGAGAATGAGAATGTGAATATTGATGGTGGTGATATCGGTGCTTGCAGAAATACACCGAGCACTCCTGCAGTTCGGGTTGTGAATGAGCCGGAGAGTAACCCTGGAGTTGAAAATGATTTCATAACACCTGGAGAAGTGCAATGTCATGGGGGAGATGTAGTTTCAATTATTGCAGTAGAGTGTAGCATGTTTGGTGTACCATAACAATTCATATTGGTTATGTTTGTTTTTTGTTTATTGTTGCAAGCAGTTGATAGGGATTTGGCTGGTGGAAGCAGGAATCAGCCGGACAGGATTGGTATGACAGCGGTAAGACCGTTATTCGTAGTGGTGTTGGTGATCTGTGTGTTGCGTTATGTTAGGTAAGGGGTGGTGTGGTTGGATTTTTTGGTGACTTAATGAGAAATATTATTGTTATGTGGTAGGTGAAGCCATTCAATGCAGCAAGGAAGTTGTCTAGGACATTAAAACCTGCGGGCCCTTTGAGATCACCCTACCTTACACGACCGATAGATCCTTCCGATGGGTTATTTATCATGGAGAGGAGGGTGACGAATTGGGTGTTGCAGAATCCAAATGCTCCAAAGTAAGTTTTTGTTTTGAAGTCTGCAATTTTGATAGAAAATTATTGAATATGTATGGATTAAAATTTGAATGTCTCTTTAATAATCACATATTATGATGTTTAGGGATGAAGCTGTTTTCGTGAAGGATGGATTAGAGTTGACAAGAGGTAAATTTGCGTCATTAGATATTGGGAAACATATTTCCAAGAGGGTGATAGATGTGTGGTCAATAATACTCAACCACAATGTGAAATTCAGAAGTGATGAATCCCCATTGCGTGTGTTTGCTAGGAGCATGGATTGTGTAAGCTGTTATTTTTTCTGTGTGCGTACTTAAGTTTGAATGGGGATTCTCATGATGCTTAATCTAACATGTTTTGAAATCAAAAGGTTGCAAATGGGGATATAGTCGATGTGTCTGAGGCGAACATGAAGAACATGTTTGCGAATGCGCTGCTTCCTGCGTGGGATGACATGGCAGATGATTTCAACTGGGGGAAAGCTGAACTGGTAAGAATGTTTATAGTAGACGCAATGTGAAGATTGAAATTAGTTGGATCGTTCTGCGTGGTTTATCAATAGTTCATTGTGTTTGAGAGAATTTGTTAATGCGTGATTTATTGGATTATGTGCAGTTTTTCTTTCCTATTATGCAACATATGTGTTGTGTGTTGACCTAAAAAGCAGACGGTGTGACATTCTGGATAGCTCTTCAGCGAAAGCAAAAAACGAAGACAGATATGGTGACATGCCAAAGCGAGTTGTAAGAACTTTGGGTGCATGGTTTTTAGGATAAGGTATATTAATGTGGATGATTTATTAACATGAAATGTTTCAACCAGGTGAGGTTGTTGGGTGATTTTATTGAGCAGCAGAGGTTTGTTTACAAAGGTAAATGTGTTAGAGAAATGGTTGCTAAGAGAATTACGTTCCCTTGGAGAGATCCGAAGGCTACATTTGACTATGGTGTGGCAACCATGCGTCATATGGAGACGTATATGGAGGATGGTGGCAAGGGATGGAACAGTGGCTTGTCGAAGTTAAATCTGAAGCCTATGTTGTTGCTGCGATGCAAGTATTGTGCATGTATACTTCTAAGCCCAGTTAATGCACTGTTGGACAAGGTTTACGAAGAGTCGGAGAAACTCGAAAGGGAGAGGAAGGAAAAGGATCCTAAGTGAACCCACCCCTAGAATGGCTGCATCTTATTTTTGTGTGTTTGTTGATTTATTTTTATTTGTTGTTGGTGAAAGTTGGTGACACCATACATTGATGGAAGTGCTATTTGGGGAACTAGTTATCAGCCCATAGTTTGGTTTATTTATTTATTTTTTTTTTGTGTGGATTTGAGGCAATTGTTTTTTTGTAGATGGTGTGAATGGTTATGGTTTTTTGAATGAAGTTGTGGTGTTGCCGTATTTGGTGCGTTTGTGGTTTTTTTAGAATGTGTTTGTCATTACGTATTTTTAGAGAGTTGTAAATGGTTGGATTAAGTGAATATTAAACAAGTTTTCTGTTTCGAGATTTGTGAACATAACGATTGATGAAGTGATTGAAATTGTATTTGTTTGAAACAGAGGTTTCAGCATTGTGATATGAACGTAGAGAACATCAGTACCAGTGTATGATTTTTACGCTCTTTTATAGTCTTTAAATTCCCTTACATTTACTAATCTTAGGGTCACCATTAGTGAGAATTTGGTTTAATTTAAGATCAAGAAAGAACGTTGACCATCCTAGAGGTTAGAGTGCAATTCTTGTGTTATTTTAGGTCCATTGGGTTAAATGTTAGAATCGAGCTAGATGACCCGAAGTGAAAATAACCATCCCGGCCCATTCATTAAGTACAAGACGTAGGGCGTTGGCCAAAGAGGGCAGTTACGCCAGAGAGGAGAAAGGAATGAGAGAGAGAGAAGGTGAGATCGAAGGTTCACCGGGAGAAAAATTCCGGCGATTAGGCATAATCCGGCGAGTTAGACCTCGCGATCATCATCATTTGTCGCACAATCACCAAGCGCTCCTCCTGATCATGCACTGTAGCCGAACAAAGGAGTCATCACGTTCGTAGGATTTGATCCTCGAACGCTGTCCAGAGGTAATTCGTTGCTTTTGTTTCCAAATTCGAGATACATTCTTAATGTTTGAGGATTGTTTGAATTGTTGATTCATAACTCAAAGTGTGATTTCGTGCTATTCAAATCTGAGTCCTAATATCTTATTTGGACAATATTTTCCTGTGATCATGTGTTTAAATTGTGAATCGATTATCACGATCATGTCCCGAGAGTAATCCCCCTCTTGTCTGGTGGAAATTTAGGATCAGTTCTCAAGCATTTGTGATCATTGCAATGATTCGAGGTTTAGACAGTTGTTGAAGGTTGTTTAATCGTGTTTTGTGCTCAGCTTTTCAAATCTGTTGATTGTAGGTCTCATGCCTCAATTATTCAGTCTGAAATTCTTATTTGGGGTCCAACAACTAGCATATAGTGTAGTTGGCTGTCCAAGTACATTGTATGTTCAAAAGGTTTTTATAACTGAATTCATGCTTATGTTAATTTGCATCAGGCTCATCCTGAGGTCATTAATGTAGGTACAGGTCCTTAGGTAGTGCTCATCTCTCTTAAGGGCTGATTTTTGAGGTGGAGATTTAGTTTCTTGCTGAGAGAGCTAAATCTCACTTTTGTTCAACAACTTGTTTAACTGAGAATCTGATTTTTTACTTTGATCTGATCAACTGTTCCTAATTCCACCAGACAAGCTTGTTCACTCTACTTGATAACCACAAATCTTTACCTGATCTTCTCTCTCCTTCTTTGATCTATTCTCATTGTTTCTGTTAGAATCTATTTTCAATACGTAGCATTAGGATCTTATGAACAACCCCCCCCTGCGTGTGTGTGTGTTGTGGAAACTGAGCAATAAATCAAGAGAAGAAATAATAGAAGACAAATCTCCCTGTGGAAGAATGACCCTACTTACCACTTTGCTACCATTTTTATAAGTGTGTAGTAATTGGGGAATAGGTTAATTTGTTGTCACCTGACAAGTGGCTAACAA